GGCCGGGCAGGTGTGAGGGGCGGTGCGGGTGTGAGGGGCGGCGGGCCGGCCCTGCCGCGCCCTGAGCCGTCCTTGTGTCACTGCCAGCGCCGGGCCCGCCGCGATGGACGGAGCGGGGCGGGAGCCGGAGGAGGGCGAGGAGCGGGAGCCGGGTGCCATCAGCGACAGGAACATCCTGGACAGCTTCACCGAGAGCCGCGAGGTCGCGGAGCTCATCGCCAACCTGCGGGAAGCCTTCGGGGAGCTGGTGACAAGGGAGATGGCCGTGGAACGCTTCATAGGTGAGCGCGGCAGACAAAGGGAGCGGTCCTGCTGCTGCATGACACTAACATTTCATTGTGTATGATTCGTTTTGTTATTGCTGGTTGCCAAAAAGGGACCAAACCGCTAGGTTTTGGGTCAGTGATAGTGCTGGAACGTTATCAACGCGTAGTTCAGATGTGGCGTTTTGCTCATTTTGTTTTCTATATAGATACTCTTTTATTACCTGGTATTTATTGCTGTAAATGAAAACTTAGGTCTTAGATTCCAGAAATCTGAATTCTGACTTGTTCTGGGCCTTCAGTTTCCTGTTCAAATTCAGGCCATAATTTAGTTAAAAGTTTGTAGTCTGTCAAATAAGGCAGCTCTGTTACTCACTGAAACACACGCATTTTGTGCTTTGAAGTGTCAATTTCCTATTTTCCTTTTCGTTTCATGGGAAATGTAAGGAGTGACTCAATCCATACATCCTTGATCCATACAGATCATGTTTGTTTTTTCCAAGTGGAGGTAACTTGGTTTGACTCTTGTGCCACCTGAGCAGAGCTGTGCTGTCCCTGGGCCTCAGCTGAATGTGGAAGGACCACAGTGAGGTGCATGTGGCAGTGTCCAGGGTGACCAGCCTCTTTGAAGGCACATCTGTGTCTTGGGTCAATATTCTGATGAGGTGATTTGCAAAAGTTCATTCAGTGCTTTGTGTATGTGCAAACTGAATTTAGCAGACTGGCATTTTGCAAGTATTTTTGTGAAGGATGGAGAAATTGCAAAACTCACAGTCAAAATATTGGCCCGGCAGCTTTGTTTTTGTCAATAAGAAATGAGGTGGGCAAACAATAAAGCAGAAACCCCCAGATTTGGAGATCTGACCCTGCAGAAGTTTCTCAGTAGCATTACTGTGGTTGGCTGAACTGACTGTTCCATCTAAATGATGGACATGGAACTGCTCAGACAGAAGGATCTCTCATTGCTGAGGTTGTTCAGCATCACAGAGCAAATGTCAGATGTCAGTGGGACAGGAAGAACCATAGCTGGAAAAATCACCTTGCTGTGCCTCTCTGGCACATCACGTGGAGTGTTTCTTTGCATTTAAATTCTATTTATGAGCTTTCTGCCTGTGTGTCATTGCCCAGTAAATACAGGCTGAACAGACATAGAAAAGGTGCTGTGGTTCAGTATTGGGTTATAATATTTTGTGTGCTCAGGTGTCATTGATTCATTGATCTTTCTGGGCCAAAATGTCCCAAACCTGCCAGGAGGCTCAGTGTGTGGGTTAGAACACTGACACATGGGGAATAGCTTTTATCTGGGAGCAGGGAATGCAGTGATCACCTGTTCCAGAGGGTTTTGATGAGAGTTTCCAAAGCATTCATGATGCTCATTTTATGATTAACCATTAGAAACAGAAGTTTGGGAAGCAGTTTAATCTGCAACTACAATTTTGTAGGAAAATATAGGAAGATATTTTTTGAAATAATACTTTTAGAGCATCTGGTTTATGTTCATTCTCTTCAGCTTTTATATTTGGGGTTTTATTTTATCTTTGCCAGGCTGTGACCTGGGAAAAGATTTTGCTCCTCAATTCCACTTCTGCTGGACAGCTGTTGCGTTGGTGTTGCAATTTGTGTTCACTGGTTCTGCTGTTGGGATGCAGCATTAATTCAGGTGGGAAGCCAGGGATGATTAGGAGCTGAAGTTTCCCTCTGGGGGGTGTTCTGGTGTCCCAGTGGAATTGCACACGGTGCTGTTGGATGGTCTGGTGTCTGAAAGTGGTGCTGCAGTGTCATCCACTGGTCAGCTGCAGCACTGTCATGTCTTCAGTGTTGATGTGTCAAGCAGAGAAAAAGGACAGAGAGCAAAGCTGTTTGTGAGGGAAACAAATACAGAAAAGGGAGGTTAAGGAGGTTTTGGTTTTCTAATTCAAAAGCTGTTTTCTGACCAAATAGCTAAAATGAGCCAGGCAGTCTCCAGTGCCACACTGGATCACTCAATGATCTCCTTAGGTATCCATCTTTCATTTCTGTATCTGCTTTTTGTTGATTCTGGGTTTAAACTGAAAAGCTTTTGTGTCTGAAAGCTCTGGAAAGTTTTTCTTTTCTTTTTTTTCCAATACTTAATTTCAATTTGTCATTTCTTGAGTCAGTATCCAAAAGGAAGAGACTGTGTCTCTAGACACAGAGTAAGGGATGTGAACAGTTTTGAGGAGCACAGTGGTAAGAGCTGCAGTTTGCTTCTTGAGGTTAAAATTTGTTAAGCACTCTTTGTTCTTTGCTGAATAATTCCCTGTATTCTATTTCAAAACAAGAAACTAGCTCTGAGGATTGTGAGGAGCAGCCTCACTGCAAAGTGTTACTGGTGGGAGGTTTGCCCAAGGAAACTGGAGATGCTCCTGGGGCTGGGCTGATGGCTCAGTGGAGGTAAATAAATGAGTGCAGTGTGGCTGTGCTTGTACTGTGACTTGGAGTTAGAGACTGCTGTGTGTTGGGAGAGACCTTAGAATCATCTCATGGCACCCTCCCTGCCATGAGCAGGGACACCTTCCACCATCCCAGGTTGCTCCGAGCTCCATCCACTCGATGCTGTTCTGACTTTGTGACCTTGCTTACAGGTGCTGGCAGCTCAGGGATGCAGGACTCTTAAGCTAAAACTGTTCAGAATCAGAAGGGATCTCACAGTTAAGGCTCTGGAAGAGCCTTGCAGTAGTTTATTACAGATATCTTTTCATTTTCAGGTATAATGGACAAGTACCAGGAGCAGCCTCACCTTTTGGATCGTCACTTAGGTAGGAATGTCATCCTTAAATAATTTTTATGTCTATACTTAAAAATCCGTTACTCTGGAAGATCTGGGTTTGCATTACAGGATTGCTGTGGCTGATAGTACTTCAATTTTATAATTGTTATCTCCCTCTGTTCTATCACAAGTACAAGAAACTCTGTGACCTGCATGTAGGCTCACTGGCTTTTCTCTCCTTTCACTAGAGGGGATGATGAATTCCTTGTTGGAGATAGTGTGGGACAGTGGATCTCCTCCCCAACTAGTTCATCTGGCTTTCAAATTTCTCTACATCATTACAAAGGTAAAAGAATCCTAAATTTAATGTTCTTTAACTGAAATTCGTATGTTATGAATGTTTTTTGTTATTTTCAAAAATATTAAAATAAGTGTTTCATGCAATTAAATATTTTAAACTGTACTGTGAAAGATTAGTTCTCTTGCTTCCCATTTTCATGATAGCTTATGTTATTTAATGATCCAGATTAGTAAAAATCTAGATCTGAATGCAAAAGAAAATGCAGACATGGAGGTACTGAGTGATAAAACATGAGTTATAACGTTGAAAAGCAAAATGTGATGAGCAGTTAGATGGAGGTGGAATTTACATTTGAGCACAAGAGAATATTTTTGGGCTGTAAGGGCTGAGCCCTGGAACAGGTGGCTCAGAGAGGTGCTGGGGTCTCCATCCCTGGGGTGCTGGACACCCCATGGCCGTGGTCCTGGGCACCCTGCTGGGTAACCCTGCTTTACCAGGAGG